TGAGTGACAAGGAGTATGTGTATGTGTCGTTTGGCACAGCAGATGGTACCTGAGGTTCTCCACGTGGAGCAGGCTGTTACATGACTCTAGCTGCTGCTGACAATTCCTCCTCCAAGGTACTCTGCCATGGAGTGGTGGCTGCTGCTATTCATGCAACAGCTCTCTGCTGACTGGCCCTGGCAGACCTAGGCACAGTACCAGAGTAGCCAGAAAGACACATGGCTGGTGGTAAAGCCCACACAGCAAATCTGGCAAGCAGAGGCGTTTGGAGAAGACAGAGGATGCTTAGCACAGTCACCTGCAGAAACTGCAGTTTTCCTGGTGCATATGAAAGAAACCTGCTGGATCAGCTATAAGCTCCACTTTTTTCTCCCCTGTCCCTAGTGCAAACTGGCAGTCCCATGCCACTGGTCCACTCAGTGTTGTGACCTCAGTACTGCAGAGCCCAGGCTGCCCTTTGCTCAGGGCTGGCCATACCTCACAGTATTTGAGAAACTACTATTTCTCTGCAGCTGCAAGAGGCTAGTGACTCCACAAGGTGCAAACTGCTTCTTGAGACAGAGCTCTGGCCTGCCAGTACTTCAACAGACTTCTTCCTTTGTTCTTGTCTTAAAAACATCTCTAGGGTAATGTTTTCAGTCCTCATATTGAAATTTTGACCGTACTTTCCACTTACAAGGAGATCTCTCTCATCCCAAGATCCTCAGAGCAATTTCCTGGACACCACTGTAAGTAAATATGGAGAAAAGGTAACTCTGGATAGTCAAGATAGATGCCAAACAGAACTGAACATCAGAGATGGAAAGGACCTCTGAAGCTGCACAGTACAAATGCACAGGCTAGGACTCATAACTCCATCTACAGCACCCAGTGTGCTTCAGGTTCATTGTCCCAACCCAAAAGGCAACATCGATTCATGGGAGTTTCCCAAGTGGGTGTCTGAACACACCGCTACTGCTGATCCTGAATTAGTCCCCCCTGTTCACATCCATACCCTTCCCAGGACTGGACTACTTCCCTTTAGCCTCCCATAGGAATCACCGGTATCAGCAGCAAAGTTTTGCTTCCTTTGAATTCTCTTTGCAAATTAATCTCAACCAAGCTTTAAGAAGCTATGAAAACATACCAACTTCAAACACTGCTTTAAGCATGAGGGGAAACAGTCTCCTGGCACTGGGAACCTTTTAATAATTACAAATACAACTAGTCCAACTTCAAGGCTCTCATAAAAGGTGCACTATCAGCACCTCTCTCTCACTTTCTCTCTCCAAGAAGTTTGGTCATATCAGACTTCTTCGAGAGAGACACACACATGAGATGCTATGCTACTTGGAGCCAAACCCTACACCTCAAACTCGGAAACCAACGAGCAGGCATCTATGAAGAGCAGCTCTGCCCTCAGCTACCCCATCAAACTGAGGAGGAGTCACACAGCGAGGGTTTTCAGGTGGCATTGGAGAGTCAGGAGTTGGATAGTCCACAGTGGCTGTCTCCTGTTCCATAGCACTCTGTGCTCAGAAGAATCACAGAATGGGTTGGGTTGGAAGAGAAACCTTCACCTAGTTCCATCCCCCTGACATAGGCAGGGGCACCTTCCACTAGACCAGGTTGCTCTAAGCCCCATCCAGCTTGGCCTTGAACGCTTCCAGGGATGGGGCAGCCACAGTTTCTCTGGGCAACCTGTTCCAGTGCCTCAGCAACCCCACAGTAAAGAACTTTTTCCTAATGTCTAATGTAAATCCACCCTCTCTCAGTTGAAAGCCATTCTCCCTTGTCCTGTCACTACATGCCCTTGTAAAAAGTCCCTCTCCAGTATTCTCATAAGCCCCCTTTAGGTACTGGAAGGCTGCTTATCACGTCCCCTTGGAGCAAATGATACAGAAAGTGTTTTGCTAGAGCCACTTAGCTACTATGTGCCCGTTTATACCTGAAAGCTCCAGGAAAAATAATCAAAGATTCCTCACCTCTAAAAAAGTTTGAGCACTTTTGACAAGTATCAGTGCTAAAAGGGAAGCACTGAAACAACATCACTGCTTTTCCAAGTCTGAGTTCAGTACAGCTCATGAGAGCCCTTCTTAAGCCTGCTGCTGCTGCCTTTATGAGGATGCGCCCCATAAGCTTTTCCTTCTGCTGGGCTGAACACACTTTCCCTGGCTCCTCCTGCTTGACAGGCTCCCAACTTCCCTGAGAGCACAGGCAGCCTTTCTTTACATTTGCTTTATTCAAAATCATGCCTGAGTAGAGTCAGAGCCATACACAGGATTCCGGGTCTGGCTCATGTTCATCTTGTATAATAGCTGAGATGTTTTCTTCTCTCTACAGATTATACGTGACTCAACATACTCTCCTCTTTTTTTCCACCCTGCAGGCAATTAATGCAGCCTGCTTTTGCTCCTCCTCTTCCTGTTTCTGCTACCCCAGGCTCAAGGTTACCCATCTCACTCCTTTTCCCTGTACTGACAAGGGGTCTCAGCGTGATGCAATCAAGGCAGACTGCTAACATAAGTGGGAGTATTTCACCTCCCCAACACAGCATTTCACTTTCTCAACACAATCCAGCCTTGCTTCCTCTTCCACTTCTGATATCCCATTACCTCCAGCTTCAGTGACAACTCAAGCAGTATCCAAGCAAATTCTGAACCAAAACCCTGACAGCAACACAGTTCTATCACTTTCCTTGTCTGTTAGTGTAATTATCAAAGAAGTAAGGCGTGCATTTCCTATTTATCCCGATCCTTAAAAAATGCTCAGCCCTTAGCATAGCAGGACACTGGACTAGCCTGTAGCTGCCTAGGTCACTTCATTTCCCACATTTAAGTCCAGGAACTTTATTTAGTTTTCTCTAGTATTTTAGCACTCCCAAATTCAGAACACTTCAGGGAACTTGCCTGCTCAGAGGCCTGTCACCACTCCTGGGACTGTCTGTTCAATTTCCCTCAAAATCGCTTGAGTGCATTCAGATCTTTCCGGGCGAGTTTCCACCTTCTGGAGTGGCACTGCTATCTACTGTGACTTGCTGATCTTTCTTAACTCCCACTCCTTCCCCAGATTGTCACCATTTTGTTCAAGTCTGTCATGCAACTACACAAGAAGCTTACCCATCACAACCCCAGCATAAAGCAATGATAAGATACCTGCCTGTGCATAAAGACAGACTACAGGAACAGGTCAGAGATGTGCAACCAGCACCTCAGTCAACCTTGTAAGATGAAAACTGGAAAAACAAGAGGTTAAGCCCAAACAACTGAGTTAACACGGTGTCTGTGATCACCTTAGGACGCAAAACACACACCTAAGATGCTCACACCATAAATTAAAATACCCTCCCAGGACTACGATGGTCAACTCAGCTACCAGCACCACTCACCACTTCTGAGACTAGAAGATTATTTAAGGTTTTCAGCACAAAATTCTGCATACCAAAATAAAATCAAAGTGAAAGAACTTCTTCAAATAATACTTTAAACCTCAGACTGAAACGTACAACGGGGCTATCACAAACTAGCACAGCTGTTTCCAGACTTAATTTAGCAAAACTCCCCTCTTAAATTGTATTTCAAGCTGCTTTTAAAATGTATGTCAAGTGGTTACAGGATCTTCACCTTGCTGTTTCAAGCGACATTAATGAGCATGATGCTTTCCATAAACATTTGTCTGTAAGGAGATGGTAAAAGACACAAGCATACTAATTTCTTGACAGCCACTGAACAGCAGCAACTCTTGGTCACTGATATTCAAGTCCAATAAGCAGGACCAAATCCATACCTTAACCACCATGTCAGCTGCAAACTAAGTCTCACTTTTTCTACTTAGAATGAAACCTTAATTTCCTTTGACAAGGGATGCCCAGCAAGGCCAGAAGTAACAAGCAGACTCAAAGACAAAGTAAAGAACACTTACACAACCGGTTGGGGTTAATATGTTGTTTCAGGAGATCAATGGAGCCAAGGCTGACAACAAGACGCCTTCCAAACCAGAAAGACACCAGTGGGCCATATTTCTCATGAAGGTTCACCAGGAACTCATGCAAACTCCTGCTGGCAATGATATCTGGAAGGTTGCCGTCCCTGGAGAACAGAAAGTGTGTATCTGGTCATGAACTGTATCCTCTGTCAAAGCTGAACTTGATCGATGCGGAGATGGAAACTACTTACTTTTCATTAGTTGGAGCCAGCCCAGGGATACCTGATGCTTGCCTAGATGCCTGGAGTAAAAGGAAACATATCAACCTCCTTGAACGTAAGATTTTATACAAGTCCCGCAGTTTTCCAGCAGGAGAGCTGGATTCTCCACATCAATACTGCTGCACTACTTACAAACGTTTACCAAATGCTAGATAAGCTACATCTTCAGGCCTCAAATCTGCTAAGGCTGATGAAACCAACCGTGTGTGCCTGGTCCCGCTGGCTAAACCAGCACTATTCACCTGGTTAGAAGAAAGATCCCCGCACAAAGATTTAGAGGGTCAGGACTGCAATGCAGATCCTACACCCAGATTTTGCCCTGGGGAGCCGCACACTGCAGCACTGCGAGGTGAGCAGACAAAGCCTTTCCAAGAGGGATTCACACAGAACGTGGCCGGGCCGCCCTGCACAACAGCTTGCCGCCGGCACCAGCCACGTCCACGGCAGGACCTGGGCCCCAGGGCACGACCACGGGGAGCCCGAAACCCCACCGAAGCCCAGGAGATGTGGAAGGGGCCGGGAACGCCCAAGGAGAGGTGGCGGCTCGGCCCCAAGGCCGCTGCCTGCTCGCCTGCAGCGGGGACCGGGCCGTGCGCCCTCCCTTCCCACTGCCGGCAGCATTACCGGGTAGAGGTAGAGCACGGCGCCCACCAGGATGAGCACGAAAGTGACGGCGAAGATAGCGAAGTCCAGCATGGCCAGACAAGGCCGGGCCGGGGCTGCGGCGGGAGCGGCAGCCGAGCCCCACCTCACGGGCCGCCGGCGGGGCAGGAAGAGGCGGGCCGGGCCGCGCCGCGCCGAGCCGGGGCAGGGCGGGCTGTGGTTGCACGCACCGCCCGCGGCGGTATGGGGAGCCCGAGGCGTCTGCTGCTGGTGTCCAACTCCACCCTGCACGGAGGGGGGTACCTGGGCCACTGCCAGGAGCACATCAAGAGCTTCCTCGGGGAGTAAGCGCTGCGCGGGGGCTGCGGGACCCTGCCCCGGCCGCCCGCCACCCCTCTAAGAGCTCTCTTCCTCCCCTCTCCAGGAAGGTGAAGCGGGTGCTGTTCGTTCCCTACGCCCTGCACGACCGCGATGCCTACGCCAGGACCGCGAGGGCGAAGTTTGAAAGCTTGGGTAAGGCTGGGCCGGCGCCGGGAAACGTCGCCGTGGGGCAGGCGTGAGGAGGAGGCGAGGCGATGAACGCCTCCGGGCGGACAGCTCTCTCACAGGGTGTTGTACTGGGTGGGGATGGGTTCGGCTCTCTGCTGCTCCCTGCGCAGTTACGGACAGCAGGAAGTTGTTTGCTGACTCCTACCTCGAAGCAGATGCTTTTGAGGCCTCCGGAAGAAATCTTACTGTAAACACTTCTAACCACTTCAGGGAGGAAATGTTTATTCCTAAGGGGCATCTTTTTATTCTCCTTAATCACATGGGGATTGTTCCAGGACATCTGAAACCTCTGCTCAAGCCGTGCAACTACTGGCATAAAACATTACCATAATGTGCTTCCATGCTGAGCAGCAACTGAACTTTGTTTAGAGGAATAATCTTTCCAGAGCAGCCTACAGCAACACCTCCACCTCTTATCTATCACCATTAACTTTGGATTTGTTACTGTAGGAATAGTCAGTACTCACTTCCCTGACCTGCACTTTGCTCCTTGCCTTGCAGAAAGATTGCTGCTATCGCATGTCTGTGTTCTTCCATCTCTCCTGGCACTTCCCTTACTCAGTGAACCCCAGCAAGCCAAATCTGTGAAGGCCAGACATTTTAGCCATTACTAAAACAACACTCAGATATTTGCACTAATGCAAGACATCCTGTTCAGACTCACAGCCAAGCTGAAGACTGACAGCTTTTTTCTTATTTTCTAGTTAGTTGGTAATGCTCATCATGACTTCGTGCCTGAGCCTACAGCTGCTGAGTGAAATGCTCTGCTCTTGGACACTGAGCACATATATCCGTAAAGCAGACATTACCATTGGTACAGCTGGATGCAGAAGCCCTGTGCTAGACAAATGCTCTGGTTTATGTTGTATAGTTCTCTGAAATTTCCCTGGTTGTTTGGTGAGGCATTTGGCTTAGGGTCAGGGGTGGGTAGGGAGGAACTGGACATACCACATTCTTCCATCAAATTGAAGTGGCAAAGGTAAATACTTTTTTTCATTTAAGGTTATGGGCTGGACAGCATTCATGAATCTTGTGATCCAGTGGAAGCTGTAAGGAAATCTGAAGCAATATTTATCGGTAAGTTCTACTTCCTGCTCCCTGATGAGGGTTTATGTAGAGCACTGGATTAGGCCTGCTTAGAGCTGGCACTTCTACAGTGACAACAATGAAAAAGTTGGATTTAGCAATTATTAGGAACTACATAAAACAGTACTTTAATTGGGAACAATAGCACCCTAAATTTAGTGGTGGGGAGGGAAATATGAGACATTAATGGAAATTCATCTCCGTTAAGTTTCAATTATCAGTTCCAAGAAGATCCAGGGCTACAGTGTTTAAACTGACCATAGTCCTAATACCATGCTCCTGCATATAAGAACAGTGTCAGCTGTCAAACAGCCAGCGTCAGTGTCACAAGGACTTGGGGCATGAACCCACAGCCTACCCCATGACCATCTTTCTGAAGCTTCTGGTTTTACTGCTGCTCAAAGCAGGATACTACCCTGAATAGAGCATAGAAATGATTGAACCTGCCAAGTTTATAAGGGCTTCAATTAAAACTGGTGGTGAAAGCACACTAAATAAGCTGGACTCTCTTTCTACAGGAGGTGGAAACACATTCCGTCTCCTGAAAGCTCTCTACGACAACAGTTTGATACAGGAGATCAGAAAAAGAGTTCTTGAGGTAAAAACTAGAAGACTTGGGCCAAGTCTGAATGGCAGGATCTCATGCATAAGCTGGTGTTCAGACTAATCCAAGTTGATTCTACATCTTTGTTTCTAATATGCTTCAAGTACTGAGCCATCTCATGCAACCTGGTGAACTCGGATTCTGTGGCCAAATAGGGCTGTCATTAGTCACTGAAGCCTGAAAAGAGTAAGGTCAGCAAACTGTCTAGGGCAGTTTCCCAGATGTGGGACTGCAAGACTTTGTGATGGACAGTGCTCTGTAGTACCTTAGAAGTAAGGCCCTCAATTTACCATAGTAATGAAGAGCAGTGCAAGATTTAATCTATGTCCAGAAACACTGATTTTCAGCTTTGTTTCTTGTTAATATACTGATTTGTTCACATGGTAGATCTTTTGCTAATAAACTGATGATAGAATTGTATCCCTGTGTGCCTTTTAGACATGTCCTTTTATGTCCTCTTGTTGGTGCTGACAGTGGTGTAATTACCTCTTGTACATCCTTAACCTGGAATTATGAGTTTCCATGCCATTGAGCTCTTCTGGTCAGCAGCCCCATTCTCACTGGTGAATTTTGTAAGGCCCAGCAAAGATACATCATCCATGGAGAAGAACAGAAGCGAGGTGTTCCTCTAGCAATATGGAACTCCAAGCGACTTCAGGCAGATTGATGCACCATATGTTTGAAAAGGCCAGCTGCCAAGAAGAAAGGTTAGCTAGGCTCTCTTAATATAAAGAAATCCAGTGCCAGTTTTGAGCAGAAAAGCCAGAAAATGTTTGAGTCCTCACAAAGTCTAGATAACTATTTGGTTATATTAGCACCAGTTCTCTCAAGATAACTTATTTTTATAAATTGTTCAGCATTATCCACATACTTGCATGTTTATATGGAATCCTTCCATGTACAGCATAGTATTATGTATGTAGTAGTAATACCAAAAGTAGCCCTAAACTGGCTGCTTATAGTACTGGTAAGTTGATGCTGTGGCACCATTGTACTCAGCTTCAGACAATCTGCTATTTTCAGAAGCTAGTTAAGACCTGTTCAGGTATTTCCTGTAACTGAAATGTAGACCAGTCTCTTGACAGCGGAGTCCAGTATATGCACTGACAACCTCATGAGTTCTTCTTGCACTGGGATCAGAGTTGTGAGTATAGGACACTCAACAACTAGTTCTCTGACAACCATGACATATACAATCTGTTGCCCACCTCAAAACCTGAATTCTTGTTCTGCTTTTCATCTGTAAAGTTAACAATCAGATGAGCTAGAAGGATTTTGATCTGATTGCTGAGTCTCTGAGATTGATAGAAGATGCTATAAAATGCAGTTCCTAGTTGTGATATTGCATACTAATCATTGCTTCTGTCTTTCAGGATGGGATTCCTTACATGGGATCCAGCGCAGGAACTAATGTCGCTACCATCAGCATCAATACTACCAATGATATGCCAATTGTTTATCCACCTTCCCTGCAGGCCCTAGGCTTAATTCCTTTTAATATTAACCCCCACTATCTGGACCCAGATGTTAAAAGCAGTCACATGGGTGTAAGTAAAGAATGCCAGAGCTAACACAGGAATCAGGGTGCAGAGGTTTAATGATAATGTGCACTTGTAAGGCCTTACAAAAGCTATAGGATGTCTGACAGCTGCTTCCTAGAGCACCTGGAAATGCCAATGAAGCAGTAACACTTTACTCCCTCGTAAAGTTTTACTTTGAATGGGAAGAGGAGTTGGCATCGGTATTACTGGCATGGAACAAAGTGTTTCTCACAAACAGAAGCTTTGCAGTATCTGAAATACTGCTGCTTCATACCTGGTATGGAACTGGAGGGGTGGGGGAAGGAGGTAAACTTGAAACATTAAGAGGCCATGCACTGTGTTTCTGCAAAGTCCTATTATAATCTCTCTTGCCTGCTGCGTGATTCAAGTTAAACATACATTAAGAGGCCTAAATATCTCAAGGTCTGAAGGAACTATCAGAACAGGGAGATCTTAGGATTGTATGCAGTCTTGTTCTGTAAGAAAATACCTAGGGACCAGTGTCCTCAAAGAGAGCATACCTGGTAGTGGCCAGTGCCAAGCAAGCACATGTACTGGTACAGCTGAAACTTCAACCACAAAGATGGCCATATCCTCTGTACGGAGGAGCTGATTCTTGAATAGCTTGCTAGGAGGCAGTTCCTCAGAGAACAGTTTCTGTGGTGCATCTTTTTAACAGCCAAAAAAACTTCTCTCCTTGTAAGCAAAATTTCTCCATGGTTAGAAAAGTATTAAGAATTAGGGAAGCATGAAGAGATGAAGGATCAGGGTGTGCTTCTAGAATCTAAATGAAGTTGTAGGTACCCATTTAATCAGCTTGTCACTAGATAAGCAGGCAGTCTTCTCCCTATAAATAACTTTTGCTCTTTCTCTGAGAGGACGTTGGAAGCTCTGTGCTGTACCAAGTCCCTGCTGTGTTCCTTTTTCCTTACCAACAAATCCTTCTGGTTCAATTTCTTCATCTACTGTTGCTCAGTTCAGCAGCAAGCTCTTAGGAAACATGGCAGAGCTTCTCACAGAAGGAAATTCTTCAGTGTAATACCTACTTGATGACAAACAAGCATATACTTAATCAGTGGAAATTCGTGGTTCACTAATCTCCTCCATGAAGGTGGAATCTCATCCATTTGCTTCAGTGCTCATGTTCTGAGGGTGAGCACACACAGGTAGCATTAAAACAACCAAAACCCCAGAACCAAAACCCCCAAAATACTGGTTGAATTGAGTGGAAATAAGACTTACCAGGGTTGGGATTGTGTGGGTTCTGTTTGATCAACCTGCAGCAATTACTGCTAATGATGGAGAGTAAAATACATATCTGTTAAAGTCAATCCTGTCACTCCATTCTGTTTGAGGGGAAGTGCCTGTTTTGTTTAATGTTATGAAATTGCTCAGTGTTGCACTAACTGGATAGCTCCAAATCCTACCTGACTTCCTAGGCAGCTAAATCTACATTCATTATTGCAGGAGACAAGAGAGGAAAGAATTCGCCAGTATCATGAAGAACCAAACACCCCTCCAGTTCTGGTGGGTAGTAATTTCCAGTCAGGAGCTACTACTGATTTTATATGGCTGTAGTATGGTAAATATTTATATGCATTCTTGCTAGCTTTCACTGTCATTTTCCTTGCCTGAAGTTCCAAGCCTTAGAGAACTGTGGTATAGAAGGCTAGTTGTATTCTAGCCAAGAGCTTCAAATTTGGATTTTGTTCATTTACAAAAAATGGGTTAGAACAAATGAAACACATTCTGCCCATTAGATGTTTGGAGTCCTGTTGCAAAACACTGTATTTAAGGCAGCTCCGATCTTTCCAGTCACCAGCCACCAGCTGTATTCTTGTACACTGGAGGTGGTGTGCATGCAGCTGGTAAGATACCACCCTGTAATCTTTCTGAAGATACTCTTAACTTTAAATTTTGTTCTAATCTTCCGTAGGTTTCTGAATTTGCTCAATTCAGTAGTATGTTTATAATTACAGTATGTCTGTATGGGAGAGTGGGACCTCAGGGTTTCCTGTCCCTGTGCTTGAGCTTGGAGTATACAAATTGTGCTCTGCCAAACCCAGCTGGCTGCTGCTTCGCCCAAACTGGATCTAAGAATGGTGGTAGCAGAAGTAATCATGGAAAAAATACACTTAATGGTTTCTCCATTAAAAGTGAGAAATAAAATAAACAAAACTGGCTTCTAAAGCAAGGTAACTCACCGAGTTTTGCCTTGGCACCTTTGTTAGAAATATGTATGGAAGTCTTGTCTGTAGTCATGGTGAGCTGCACTAAGACTGGCCTGCTTGTGACAAGCACTCTAGCCTTTCAAATAGCTTGATAATAACAATAAATGTTACCACCTACATTAGGGCTTGCGGGAAGGTGCGATGCTGCTAGTGGAAGGAGACAAAGCCACCTTGCAAGGAGTGACAGGAGCACGCCTGTTTTTGAGGTAAATGCTTCATTTGAATTGATATTCTCCTTCAGATAGAAAGGAAGAGACATACTATTAGACTCCTGGTCCATGGTGCCTGTCCCCCACATCAGAATCCCTTAATCCCTTGCTTCCATTTCTCTTTGGGGAAAATATGAGTATTGCTTTATGCTCCAGATGAGTAGGCAGTATGACAGCACTTAAAGGATGTCTAGCTTACCCAGTTAGTTCTATGGTGTTACATCCACTAATGCTTATGCTTCTGAACTATTAGTTACCATTCACAGAAAGTGCCCCTGTAGTCAGTGCTGTTACTGAATGCCAGGGGAATGCCAGTTTGGCCCTAATGCATTGAACTCCAGAACAAGGGAACTCATGTCTTTGTCATATAAAGATTACTAAGAAATCTAATATGTATGTCCCGAGATGCACGGAAGCTAAGAAATCTAATATGCATGGCCTGAGATGCAGGGAAGAAACGGAGTCACAACTCTGCTTGACAGGAATAAGGATGCCTTGTTCTATCCCTAGTAACAGATGGAAGCACAGTCCTAGCTCCTGCTAAAGCTCACAGCATGGTTTTTCTTGTTTACAGGGGTAAGAAACCAACTGAACATGAGCCTGGAACAGATTTCAGTTTCCTCCTGATTGACAGTAATCTTCAGAATCTGTAGCCTTGTATATTCTGCAGCAAAAGTCACTAAATGGGGACACAATGAGGAGGGAGGGAAGGGATGCTTCTAGTCCCAGGGTGGGTGAAAAACCGTATCTTTATAAATAAATATGCAGTAATAGGCTCTTTTTCCCACCCTAATTCATGTCTCAAGATATCTCTCCTTCCCAGCAAAAGGACAATTTTTCTTGCAATACCTGAGTAATCATAGCTATTCTTAGCCTGAAAGGGTCTGTATTTTCATGTAGCCACTTCCATTCCTTCTCCACCAAATGTTTAACACATTTAAGACAGGACACAGAGTCAGCTGTTCCTGCTGCCTAGCTTTACCTGCTAAATTAAAGAATTGTTAGTTTAGTGTATTCCCACACATTTAACTTCATTTTTCCACTATTAATAAAGGGAGAAGTTATGCATTCAATTACTTTTATTTGCTTCAAACTCATGTTAAATATATACAATGCTAATTATATACAAAAGTGTGCATGTTAAAAATTTCAGGTTACAAACTTGCAAATCCTAGAAAAGTGCAAAATTTTAAAACATCTTCCACCATGCTGTACAGAAAAAAATCCATCATTAGCCAATATACACACTCTTAAAATATACTGATCAAAACAAAGTAAGACATACAGTATTCTCTTAAAGCACCCAGAAGGGAAAAAGATATTGCACAGAAGACTGACAAGCAAGTTCATTACAGTGTCTGAAGGCTCGTTTTTGAAAGTAGGTATTTCCAACACTCCTCAGACCTAACATTTAACTCTTAAAAAAGGCATTTTTTGGCATTTAAAAATCCATTTGTAATCACATAATTGCACGGTCTGTAAGAATTTGAGAAGATACAGTTAACTGTTGCTGTAAGGCCCTTGCTTCCACTCCCTCATTAGCATTAGTAAAAAAGCATCAAGCAAACTGAGTAGCATTATAGCTTCCATCAAAACACTGACCAAAGGGAGGCAAGTCTCACAAGCAGCATTTCTCTAATCTTTTATTAAGCTGCTCCTGCATAGTGAAGGGTTGAACCAGAACACAGATCACAAGTTTTCCTTGATCCCCCCCCACCATGGCTTTCTTTAAGCAACAGCTCTCAGCTACATATGACTAAAGCAGTACTGTCAGGTGCAAGACTATTTTACAAAGTTACTTCAAGGCAAAAAGTATAGCTCCCTCAAGAGGAAAATACTGACTAGATTGGAAGCTAAATAAACAAGTGGCTTCTAAGTTCAGTTAGATCTAAGATATATATGGCTGGATGGTTTTTACTTCAATCTCAGAACACCTCAGAAGCTTTAAACCATAACCTATACTGACAATCCTGCTTCTGTGACAGAAGATACATTATGAAATTCTCTGTGCAGAGTCTAATCACAGACCTAAGCTCTGGAAGTACTTGCCAAATTTCCCAAGTAGACAAAATAGAACACATAACCGGAGGAATTCTCTCCTAAAGGAAACAAGTGAAACACCACCTATTTTATCTGGGCCATTTGGGTAAATGGTAACTAAAAGAAGACATACCAATTTTCTTCCACAGATGCACAGCAAAAGGTGAATTAAAGCCAAACAAAGGGTACCTTTGATTAAACACTACGGGCAGTTCCTCATGTATGCAGTGTCCAAGACTGCAGTTAAGATGAATAGTGCATGACAAACTCATGCAGAGCATGCTATGCTGCCATTCAGAGGCATTTCTGCATTCAGGCATCTGATGATTATAACAGCGATGAAGGGGACAATAGTATTTTACCATTATGTTTTTTTAACTGCAATAGCTTTTCAGAAAACCCTTGTTTCCTTTAAAAGTATCTGTTAACAAGGGCAATTCATAGCAATGAGGGAAATTTGGCTTCTTGGGATGGAAGGAAAGACATCTTCCAAACACCAGTTAAGTCTAACACTGGTATACAATGAACCCACATGCATATGACTGCACAAAAATTGTCAGTTTCCCCAAAAGGAAACTACTAAGTGTCATGTTTACAGCTGAAACCAACATAGCTTTTAAACCAAAAAGCATGAAAAGCCCATTCTAGAAAGCACTGAAGCACATGCTTGAATTTCCACCCAATTAAATATAACCCTATGTAGTGCTTTCAGCTAACAGTATTAGATGAGGCCTTAGGTTCACATTAGGATATGTATTTATATGTAGGTTGGGTTTTTTTGGTAATTTTTTGACAGGAAAAAATATATTCACAGCACATAGCCTCAGCACCTAACCTAGCCAGCAAGATGCCTTTCACAGTGGAAGAGAGGAGTGCCTTCAGGTGACAATACAGAGCAAATGTCTACATAGACTCTCAGTGTAGGAGTGGATGGAGGTGGACACCTCCTCTACTTCCCTCCCCAGCTCTAAAGCTCCCTACCATAATCTGTATATAGATACAGATTTTCAACTAAATATACACACACACTAAAAACTTTGTTAAGCATTTGGCTGCTGTACGTACACTTGCAATGATTTTGTTAATTGAGATTGGGAAAGACTTGCAGAGGAAACAGGGAGGAGGGAGACATGGTCTAGGGAAGCGAGGTATACAGCTCCCTTGCTTGACTAAGGCAAGAGTTGGAAGACCTAGCTAATTACTGTGCATTACAAATAAAAATGAATTTACCACTCCTGCAGGACTGTCTTAAAGCAGGCTGATGTAGGACTGTTACCAGTCCCACACAGCATTTTTACAGTGCAGTAGCTTAGTTCCTCGCACCTCATTTAAAGGACACAAAAATACAACCCTTAAGAGGATCCTTACAAAACAGCTGATTGACTAGACTTATTTAAAGCCTGTGAAGACTTTGATTAACCTGTTTTGAGATAAAAGTCATGATCTAAGGTACACTGGGGGGGAGAAAGCTTGTTTATTTCAATTGCAGATTAGCAAAACAATTGTAATGTGCAGGTGGGGGTTTTTTTGATAATTTTGTTTGTTTGTTTGTTTCCTTTTTAATCAATCAGGCCCTAATTTCCACAATGCCTGTTAACCACCAGAAGAAGTGCAGTTAGTTTAAGATCAGTATTTTGTGCTGGTGTTGTTAAAGTACATGGATGACAAAGATGTAGTTTCTAAATAATCTATGATTATTAGGTAACAAATATATTGATATCAAGTAACTTGTGTCAGATGCTAACTTGAACAGCAAGCATTTCACTTTCTGAATGCTTGTACAGTACAAAACCTGCACAGACTAGATGAGATTCCTCACTATAGATAAAGACAAGTAAAGGACTATAAAGAACAAGTAAATTGATAGAGAAGTTTAACAAACATTTTACTTGAAATAAAGGAGAAATGTCTTCTAAATATCATCCTTTGGTATGGAGAATTTAATACTGCTAACTACTCGATCTCATTTATATATAAGAATGGAAAGAGAGTTGGGTTTCATTTTCTTACTACTTACTCAGCTTCAAAGGTAAGAATATCTTAAACTCTGATACATATCATAAGGGTTGTTCCAAAAAAATTAAAAGAAGATACCACCAAACTTGAGGAAATCAAAGAATTATGGAAGTCAGTTTGCTAATTCACAGTGCACTGCATAACAGACCTCAATTCAACCACCCTAAATAGCTGATAAGAAAAAAATATTTTCTACTTTTAAAAAAGATTTATACAAATAAGTTAAAGCCAAAAGAAACAACGTACCACCTAACGCTTACACTTGTGTCCTGTATCTTTTATTTAAAGCTGGTTTAGATAAAGTGCAGACCTTCAAGTCTATGGGGGTCTTTCTAGAGGGCCTCTGGCAACAACGCTAAGCATGCAGTGGTGTTTACCTCCCATCCTCAAGGACCAGATAAAAGATCAAAAGGCAATGGATGTTGCCATTACACACAGTGCATAAAGCAGCCTAGGGCTCACCTCTGCCCCTCTTCATTCTTGCTGCTGTTTTGTCCTGAGCACAAAGTAGCTTTAAGTTTCAGAGCTCAGGAAATGCCCACAATTAAACTGATCCCAGATGCTTGTGACAACGCATAATGCTTGTAACATAATGAAATGATGGTACTCAATGTCAAAGCTTTTCACCATAGACTTTCATCCCAAATTATTGCAGCAACATTATATTTTACTTAAACTGATGCAGTGTATTCAATATTCTTTAATACTAAACTACAAACAACCATTTATTCAACCATTGTATAAATTTACCCAACCCAGAGTAGGATGTTTTCAAACCCTTATTTGAACCCCTCTGTGGAGGTGACAAAAAAATGAACTATGCTTTCACCAAACACTACGAAAGACCTCTCTCCTCAATTTTTCCACTTGATTCTGCTAGCCCAAAACATCATTTCCTGCCCTCTTCCCTTGCAAGTAAACACTTAACCTCATACATGCATTTAGACAGAACATATATGCAAACTTACAAAAACTATTAACTCAATGTCCCAAATGAATTTTCCAACTTCCCATAACACAGAAAGATCTCACATTCTGAGCTGAAATTCTTCTAAACTACTCTTGGAAGAGCTCCCCTGGAATCCCTCCTTCATGAAATCATAATGGACAAACATACTTCACATTCTCATGAACACAATACTTCCAGAGTATCCTTAGTATTCTTACTAGATAAGCAATTGATTACAAAATAGTGTTTTCACGTCTCTGTAGCTTATTTGAAAGTACAGGTGCATTTGGGTAATTTCTTTACATACATGGAGGCTGGAAAAACCACACTGCTCTACTTTTGGAAATTTAATGCTCTCTTGGCAAGTGACTCAGGGAAATAATTCTTATTTCTCCTAACTTTCCAGACAATCCAGTCTGTCACAGTGATTAGCTAGAACATTGCAACTATGCATAGACCCACTTGTTCACTAGTCTGATTTATTATTTCATTTACAAAAATTAAGAAAAAGCAGCGTAACTTTCTTTGCACAGCACATTAATCAGTCACTAGGAGGGCTGTTTGGTTTTTTTTCCAGTAAAGAAATTGAGGCAGTGAAAACAGTTTAAATGAGACTAACAAAACTTGTTAAGATTATCCTTTTGTGGGGTAAGGAGATATTATTTCTACAAAGTTAATAAATATTGTGCTAAAAGTTAATGAAATAAGATTATACATTATGGAGTTCCTCAGGTAGTTCAACAGCTCCCCAGCCACAGGGAATATCTGATAACATTTATAAGAGATACAACACACATTCATTTCCATAAATAAATAAAAATAACAAGAAAAGTAATGGCAGAGGGAAGAAAGGGGTAGTCAAAGGGGAACATACTAGCTAACAGTCACTTAGAGCTCTGCCTTATACCTATAATTCCTCTTACCCCATCGTATTTTCTCCTTCTAATAGACATACATACATGAATATACATATATATACAAACATACACACATATAATACATATGCACACATACCTTTGCCTGCCAATCCAAAAACCTGTCTTATTCCTTCAGCACCAGGCTTTTCTAACAGTATAGGGTTTATCATTTAAATCAGTAACATTATAAAAATGTCAGAATGATAGGAAAACACACGCCCTTCTATCATCATGTATTGTTAAACAAAACAAAAAAAAATCAGTAATGGCTTCTCTAAA